TCATGCCTAATTTTCTCATATTTTGCTTCATCAGCTAGAAAAACTAGAATAACATTGGAGTGGGGGCATGCTATTTCGATTGATATGTATGACATTTCAGTAGCCCACCTGAAAAAAATGTCTTCATGCTCCAAGAGAGTCTAGATCAGTAAATTTGTGCCATACATCAAAATTCGCACTGATTAGGAAAAATTTACCCATTTCACCATGTGTAGCAAGAATCTCGGTAGAAGTTTCATTGGTCTCGAGATTCCCATCTCACTGGTTCTAAAGTTGAATGACTTGTTCCACGTTACCAAATCTCAGGGGTAGCATTTCCAAGTCTGCTTTAAATTTCCATGAATACTAATTATCTCCCGTCACATGAAGACTTTACCGCGATGGGTAGGTGGAGTCCACAACTTTAAAGTTGTTGTGTAGCAGGTGACCAAATATCACATTATAGGTGAGTGATGCGTCAACCACAAAAAAAGTCTTCCATGTTGGTGAATTAATTATCATATTCCCCCTAGGTGATTGATAGCATGATTATTCATAAGGCTTCCTTTCCATCGCCAGAAAACTCATAAAGTGCACCAGTAAGTGCCACCAGTCGGTTGATAGATAGGAGCATTGATAGATAGGAGCATTTTATCGAAGGTTGACTTGAACAAGATGTTACCTGAACTGCTAGTGTCAACCAAAATACTACCTACCTGATAGCTTTTAATCATTATTGTGACCACTATGACATCATTTTAGAGAATCCTCTTTGGGTGCAAATCTGTGTAAGTAAAAATAATCGAGGGATGAGGCTTCCGAAATAAAGAGAAAGTAGCAGCGTGAAGTTCCCCCATCTAAAAACTTTTATGATTGGCTCATTGTAACAAATCTCTTCCATGATGGTTAGTATTATCCCCTTGGTGTGGATAACATTGGCTCATATGGGATCATCTAAGTCCTCTTCTATTGCAGCATTCCACTGTCGTTGGGTTAGCACCACTAGGGTTATAAACTCTTTGAGTTTCTCAGTTTGAATCAACTCTTCGACGAGGATTTGAAGGTGTTTTCATTGCTTCGCATCATGGCTTCGGTCCTTATGATATTTGCAGAACTTATTTGTGTTCCAGAAAAAAGCATTGGTTCTCATTGGTGGAGTCTTTTTTAAGTACTCCTTGTCTTGTATGACCTCCATCAACTTTTTCATTGAAACCCTCATCGAGGGTTTCAGTGCTTTCCAGTCACCCGACAATCGATCATTTGACCGACTCTATCTTTTCAGTAGTTTTTTTTTTTTTTGCCTCTCCATCATCATGAGATGACCGACTATCTTCACATTTGAGTTGTGGATCATCCTTCAGCCTCCACCCATCACTGTGCGAGGCCCTCTTCTGTTGTGGTAGTTGGATTGTTCACCTTTCTGATAGGGTGGGTGAACATACTCCTCCATTATGATGTGATAATTAGCTAACTTCAAGATTTTAGCAGCTTATTGGGTTGTCGTAAATCCAAAAAAATACTTTAATTGTTTGTTACTCAACTCCTATAACAAGGCAGCCTAAGCTACCGCAGGCTTATAATTCTGCACTTCCGGCATTTCTTTTTGGAACCGAGTAACATATAGAGCTCTCATTCAACCCTTTCTTAACTTGTCACAAGGCTTATGAGTTCTGATACACCTAAAATATATAGAATTTTTAGACACATTTTTATACCTATTTTTGAGATATTGTGTTTTAATGGGAGGTATTTGTGTGTTGTGTGTTTTTCTTTCAGGGGGAGGTATTTGTGTGTTTTTCTTTCAGGTACATGTAAAATGATGAAAAATACTAAAAGGAGTGAAAAGGGATCAAATTTGGAGCAAAAAGGTGAAAATTTTGCTAATGTGTTTTGGCGCCTAAGCGCCGGTGAAACAGAGAAGGCTGCGCCTAAGCGCCAGAGGCCCTGCGCATAAGCGTCAAAGGCAGTTATTTGGTGATTTACTTCATTTTGCCAAATTATGAAGGGATAGTTGAGGCACCTATTGGCTAAAGAGGGTGGTTATAACCACTAGAAACGAAAATATTATTAAAAGACTTATGAAAGGAGGCATCCTGTAGAGAATACATCGAATTGGGACACATTTTGAAGAGTTATCAAGATACCTCTTGGAGATTTATAAAAGAAGGAAGTTGAGACTTTTTAAAGTGTGCTTGAAAGTTCTAAAAAGTTTTGGAAAGGGGGAGTTTTTGAGAGAGTTTTAGAGAGATTTTCAGGCACCACAAATTTACTTTATCCTTTTTGCATTTAGTTTTATTATGAGAGTCAAGAGTATTGTAAAAGAGAAGAGATTCAAAGGAACTTCAAGAGTTTGGTGGAGGATTTGAGATTAGTTTTTATCTTTGTTTTTAAACTACTTTTGGTTTTAATCGAGACTTCTTGTTAGTTTGACAATGATTTCTACTTTTAAACTAAAGTGTGGTTTTGTTTTCTCCATGGATTTTGAGTAGTTTTCTTTATCTTTCTCCCTAAAATGATAAGTAATTAAAGTTTGGATGGAAGTTGTGAAGAGTATTGATCTTTAATATTGAAAGAAGTTGTGATGATTTAAATCTATGTATTTCATTTACTTCTTGATTTAGCCTATCTAGATGTTAAAATTTGTTGTAAAAACATGTAAGAACTGGTCTGGTATTGTCTCAGTCAATAATTGAAAAGTAATTGAAAAGAATCAATGAATGAGAATGTAATTCATATGATTTAGTGCAAATAAATAAGGAAATAAACTTTGAAGGGTGTAGAGTTAGAGGACTTTAAAGTGATAGGTTAAAGCCCCCAACTTGGTTTATTGTTTTAGGTTCTCATACGAGATGTTAGCCCCCAGGTGGAGGGAATCGAGGGAACTCTAGAGTGAGAGCTAGTATTTTCGCTGCCTAGTCTGTCTTCAAAACTATTCAAACTTTGAATTAGCCAATGTTCTTTATAGCATCTCTAGTAAGGGTAAAGAATATTATTGCTCCTATTTGGAACAACACAATTTGCATACTTCCACAACAGAATTCCTAAACTTATTACTAATTCATAATAAGGAGAAAGATATTTTCATATCAAGTGCTTTTCTTTTACATAAACTCAAGTTATCTTTAGACGTTTTACTGTTTTGTCAAAATATCAAAAATACCAAAAAGGATTGAATTTTACTTATTGAGAAAATATCTATAATTTAAGTAATTATCTTTTTAAAAGATAGAAAGTTTGTGCATATTGCATATTTTCTTGTGGGTTCGATATTCAGGACTTCATCAAAAAGTCCTATATTACTTGATAACAATACGTATACTTGCGTAGTATCCCAATATATATAAATTAAAAAGTTTAATTCTTATTTTCTCTAGGATCAAGTTTTTGGTTCTGTTGTAAACTAATATTACATAAGTGTGAAAGATCATTAAAGTCATTGTTATACTGTTGCATATAAACAGTTCTCGGGGGATCAAGTTCTTATAGGGCTTTTGGGCACTAGAAAACTGTGCCGTGAACACCTTCTTAGATTCACAAAATGAGTTGATAAATTCTGTCAGGAGGCCATTAAAATACCTTAGGGATGAATCCCTGAACATGAAGTAGAATAACAGATGACTGACTCAAAGGAAGCTATGTAGTAAGTCAAATCACTCCGACCCTTGTAGGATTCCAGAGATGGAACTTTAACTTGAAGATCAACATCAAAGATCTGTCAAAAAATGCATTCTTTGACTAACGATAAATTTTAATTCACCCCAATCATGGTCTGACCCTTAGTGCAAACCTAACGCTATCTTAGTATTATGATTCTTTAACTCTTTTTTGCTCTTGAGTCATTCTGTGGACTTGGGAACTTGGTTCTTCTCGAGGGTTTGGTTTCTAGGGAGCTTATGCTCTTCTTTCAAGTAGCATATGGGTCAATTCTATCGTCTTTCTTGCCATTTGATTTCGGAGTTCCTAAATTTATTGTTGCACAAATTCTCTCACATACTCCATGTTCGAAGTTTCTCCCTGATGATTTCTTTCTCTATGGTTTGCTCCTCTTCTCGTTGATAGCATGATTTCAAGCTCATCGCACTTTTTAGGATGTTGAATCCAAATATGTCACGTGGATTACAGCTAAGAGATAGAGCATTGGACGGATGAGAGAAAGAAAGAGAGAGAGTGTGTGTGTGTGAGAGAGAGAGAGAGAGAGGAAAATATAGTGCATAGTAACATAAGTTTTGAGAGTGTAAATTCAGTAGTCATTTATTGGAGAAATGACCCCTTATTTATATGGGGCATCTAGTAAAATTACACGTTTGTCCTTACACGTTTTCATATTTCTAACCAACTCTGTGACCCATTAATATTCATAATGGATATTAACACTATTTTGTATTCTTAAGTGCTTGAAAGGGGGGCATCTAATGGCTTGTTAATGTTGTCATTCAATCGACTAAGAATCATTCGGTCAGCCATCGACCCTATCAAGAGAATCCTGAGTAGAGACCCTCTTGTCGTTAGGGTGAACTTAGACCGTTAGGTAGCAGAGTGTATCACCATAATCTGTCGCGCGGCTCTCATTTGGACGGTGACTTCTTCGAGGATCAAAGAGTTCTACATGTTGCCCTTTTGTCATCTTATGAAGAATTCCAAAATTGGCTAAGAGAGCTGGTAATGACTATCTCTCGGATCAGGTGCCTTCAATTTGTTTGTTCAGCTGTGTTTCTGTTTGTTCAGCTCTAAATTCTGATAGGAGGAAATGATGTTTGATGTTTCAGTTGTTTGACTATCTCATGTAGTCATGGTGTTCATAAGCGAGATTCATTGGATTTTCTCAAGATTTGTGTGGTCATATTTTTTTTCATGTAAAACAACACACACACACACACACATATAAACAACTTATTAATTTTGAAATTTTTTATTTAACATTTTAGAATATCATTAACAACAAAATATTAATATTAATGAAACTTAATTATATAGTACGCATAATCTTTTGACCCATGCACCTATGCTTACAACTAGTGCATTTTTATAAGTTCTCATAGGAAAGCAGCGCATGCAAAACGACACGATGATTTCTCCAGCTCAGCTGTCGGAGGCTGGGAGCCGTATAGGCCCGAGGAGCCGTCTTTCCTTCTTCCAATTTTCGTCTCGTCTCTCTTATATCTCTTCCTCACTGCTTGTCTCTTCTGTATAGAGAACTCCTACCATAACCATTGATCTCATCTACTCGAATAAACAAATGGCGGCATCATTAGTGATTCCGGTAGCACGCGGCACAGCGACTGGGCTGCCGTTGCAGCGCCGCAGGCGGATTCCGGCGACTTCACCGCTTCTTAAAGTGAGGTCCGCGGCGGGAGAGGGTTTTCCGGCCGCAGAGCCCGACCTTAGTGTTAAGGTCAACGGTCTGGAGATGCCTAATCCGTTCGTGATCGGGTCCGGACCGCCGGGAACTAACTACACCGTTATGAAGAGGGCCTTTGATGAGGGTTGGGGCGCCGTTATTGCCAAGACGGTACATCCTTTTATCTCAATTGTTGTCTTACTTTCTTTTTCAGCTTTTTTTCTAGGTCTGATTGATTTGAGATGTATGGGTTTTTTATTGGTTATATGGGAGTGTGTAGTTCATGCAAAAACTCTAGGTATTTTGAATTTCGTAATGTGGGTGCTAGCTAGCTTACTTATTGAAGATCTTGAAAGTTATGGTGATGATCACTGGATCAAATCTAACCTACATCAAATCTGTACTTTGGAACTTGACTTTTCCACAATAAACCTTTACCAATTATCAATATCACCGACATTAATATCAATGTAAAGGCTAGCATATATCACCTACCAATAGCCTTTAATCTCAGATATTATATAAGTCTCATCGGTCATATCCGAATTTTATAAAACCATAATATTAATTTTAGCGTTACCTTGATATTGATTTTAGTCTCATCGGTGATATATTCTAGCGCTGTTGTTTATAGTAAACCACTATGGCGCCACAATTCATCTCACTTTTATGAATCACCTTTTACACTGACTAATGATTAACATTTTGAAGCTTTCTATAGCATTCCGAATTAATGTATCCTTTTAAACGATAGAAAAAGTTTCACTTTTTTATCCTTACGCTTGTGCCTGTACTCTTAACATTTTATGACCAATCCTATCATGACGATGAGTCATTCTGTTGACCTTAATGTATTTTATTGGTAAGAATGAAATTTACCTACCGAGTTTTGCATTTAAAAGCTGTGCTGGTCAAGATTACTATGTGGCCTAGATAAATATAAAACCTATATGCTTCATGTGTATGCCAGGTGTCATTGGATGCTTCTAAAGTTGTGAATGTGACACCTCGATATGCAAGGCTTCGAGTGGGATCAAATGGTTCAACCAAGGGAGAGATAATAGGATGGGAGAATATTGAACTCATTAGCGACAGACCTCTTGAAACAATGTTAAATGAGTTCAAGAAATTGAAAAAAGAGTATCCTGATAGGATACTTATTGCTTCAATAATGGAAGAATACAACAAAAATGCATGGCACGAACTTATTGAACGAGTTGAGGAAACTGGAGTGGTATTCTTCTATCATTTCTTACTTTAGATGTTTAGAAAGGGTACTTCGTTTAAGTTTTGTGCATGCTTATATTCAGAATGTTTTTTTTATTTTCATTTAGGATGCTCTGGAAATTAACTTCTCATGTCCTCATGGAATGCCAGAGAGGAAAATGGGTGCCGCTGTGGGACAAGATTGTGCATTATTGGAGGAGGTCTGTGGTTGGATAAATGAAAAGGCCACTGTACCTGTTTGGGCTAAGATGACTCCTAACATAACAGACATTACACAGGTTATCATTTGCCTAAGCCATCTTTTTTCCATTTAATTATTGAGATGTGTTAGTTTAGTGTATTCTATGCTCATTTTTATGTTTGTTAACTTATCTGAACGTTGTTTGAATTGGAGGTTTCTGTCTATTGCTTTAGCTAGTTTATATTGGAATCTACCTTGTCAATTGAAGATTGTTCTCTTAACTGGATTGATGGACAAACAATCTTAGTTGCACATTGGAATTATCATCATCATTTTCTTTATTCAACATTTAATATCAGCATTGTCAATCTGCATTATTTCCTGTGGATCTAACCTATTATTCGTACATCACTCTGGCCAATTTCTGTCCCTTATACCCAATCTTTTGTTATCAAATTTATCTACCATCGAATAGGAGCATGTTCAGTTCTCGTTATTCATATCCAAACTGCTCAAATCTGTTATTTGTTATTTTATCTTCAATGGATGTCACTCCAAATTATAGTCATTTCTTAATTTATCATCATAGCTTTACCACTCATCCTTCTTAACACTCTTATTCCATTCATGCTCAATTCAGCTATCAATATCTTTTATCGCCCAATACTTAGATCCATAAAAGTTCACTAACCTAATTATGTTTTTTTAAGCTTTACTTCATGTCTTCATAATAATTTTTTTGAAAATATTCATAATATTATTTTATTTTAGCATACTCACACTTCTTCATTTTAATAACTCAAAATAATATTCGCATCCATATCCCTATTTCCCTATATAATGTATAAAAATACTTAAATATGTCACGTTTATCTATTACTTTATCTTCTAATAATATTGCTCGATAACTATTAATATTTCACTCTATCATATATTTAATTTTTTATCTACTTTATAAATCAGTCAAATCCTAAATAGTTTCTCTATTTTTGAAACTTTTAACTTCAGTAGATGAGATACACAGCTATGTTAGCACCATCATTTCTATCATACTCAGCTTACATATCATATATATTTTACTATCCTGACATTCCTATCTATATAGCATCATTGATCTAATTGTGATTTCCAAAATTTTTCATTAAGTATTCACGAGGTCCTCTTATCACACAAAAATTCTAATACATTTTTTCATTTTAACTATCTAATTTTAACTTTAGAAGTTATATTCTAAATCCTCGTATATTTCCATTCTTTTATGTAAAAATTTAAGGTACTTATCTTATAATTAAGCATAGCCTCATCTTTTAACAATATTAAATAATATTTGTTAACATCGTTCCCATTAAAATAATAGCATATACCCAATATTGATTATATTATTATGAGGCCTCTATCTTTTACATATTTTATCCTTCATTCTAATTTTTCATTAAAATTGGCTTATGTCTCACCAGGTAGAACTGTATCACATGTAAGAATAATTGAAAGTACCTTATTTTGAATATCTTTTGTTATCTCTATAGCTAATAGAAAAACATTTGAATTTGATGCTGATCCTATTTGTGAATCTATTATAATTGAAAACTTTCACAGTTGATCCACAATTACTTCCAATACTATGTAAGGCTCAATTATTCATCTTTAATAATATCATCATATATTGTTACGCATTCTACTTTCAAGCATAACAAATTAATTTTTATTGTACTCAGTTATGTCTTCTCAAGATTAATAATAAAAATCTTATTAATTTTTTATTTCTTCATTTAGTATCTTAAGACAAAATCACAACCAGATTTTCATAACATAAAAAAAGAAAATTAGTTATTTCAATCTATTAATTTATCTAAGCCTAAGCTTCATCACTCGTTTTCGTAGTTTCATTTTATTGCTCTTAAGTTTGTTTTTTTTTTTATAGTTAGCACCAACTTGAACATCTTTTTTATTCTAAAATATTGGTATTAGAATGTTTCTTCTCCAATCATTTGGCATTTTCTTACTCTTCAAATATTAATAAAAAAAGTTGTTAACCATATGATTGCAATATCCACCATAGTGCTCTAAACCTCAATAGGTTTCTTATTTGAATCGAAATTCCTACCTCTATGCATCTCTTACATTGCCAATTTCACTTCATTTTTTGAATCTATCTATAATATGCTTCACCAAATTATTTTTTGTACTCTTCCAAAATAATTTATTTTTTAAGTCTCTCATTTGATAAATTCTAAAATATTATTTTTCAATTTTTTTCTTGATCTTTTATGTTTAATTATAATCCTATTATTTTCCATTTAGATACATTTAACATGATTAAAATCCTTTGATTGTTTATCTTGTGTTTGCCATTCTACATGTCTCTTCTTTTCATTCATTTGCACCAAGTCCATTAAATAAATCTTCTATGGATGTTTGCTGCTCTGATTTGTTATGTCTTTGGAAACTATTTCCTAAATCTTGGGTTCAAATCCAACCTAAATTATAAAAATTATTATTTTACGAATTTCCAAGTCTGAAAAAAAAGCATATTTATAGAAATCATCTAAAGCTAAGTTCTTACTTTACTCTCTACTCTATTTGTCAAACATAGAGCTTTTTTAAATCATTATAAACTTCAATATTATTAATTTTTTGCCATTATTTAAAAGTGCATTTTTCATAATAGCTCTTTTTACCTCCTCGCTCCACTATCAAGTCCTTTTAGTAGTATACTATATATTTTTCAGCAACAACAACGACAACAACAAGCCTTTATCCCACTAAGTGGGGTCGGCTACATGAATCTTTTTTCTCTTGCGTCCTATTGAGTGTCATATTTTCATTTAATTTTATCAAATTAAATTATTTTTTTATACAATATGTCGAAGCCTTTCTAGGTGTACCTTTGTCATTCTTAACATAAGTCGAATATAAAAAATCTACGCTCCTAACCGGATCATCTGATAGCCGACGTTTATTCTGACTAAACCATCTAAGACAACTCTCTCTAATTTTTGCACTCCACTGGAGTTACACCAATCTTATCACGGAACCATTTCGCATTTTGTCTCTAAGTGTAAAACCACTCATCCACCTAAGCATTCTCATCTCGACAACACTTAGTTTTATGCTTTTCTTTTAAAGGCTAATATTCTGTGCCATAGAGCATTGTAGGTCTCACCACCATCTTATAAAATTTTCCTTCCAGTCTAAATGGTGCTTTCTTTTACACTGTAGGCCCGAAGCATCCCTCCACTTCAACCAACTAACTTAAATTTTACTAATAACATCTCTATCTATATCACCATCACTTCGAACAATGGACCCAATATATCTAAAACGTTCACACCTTTTCATAATTTGATCACTCATAGTTACAACTCTTTCACTAGAGCTACTACTACTAAAATTACATTCCATGTATTCAGTTTAGTTCTGCTCAAACGAAAGCCTTTAGACTCCAATGTAGACCTTCATAATTCAAGTTTTTCTTGAGCTTTTTCTCTAGACTTTTCCATAAGAAGAACTTCATTAGCAAAAAGCATACACCAAAGTACATCCTCCTGTAATTGTCCAGTATGAGCATCCATAACTAAAGCAAAAAGAAACGGGTTTAAAGTCAATCCTTGATGTAATTCAACTGAAATAGGAAAATATCTGGTCAATCATCCTTCTGTTCGAACACAAGTAACAACTCTAGTATATATACCTTTAATGACTTGCCTTTCTTCTCTAGAACTCTCCAAAAGATATCTCTTGGGACTTTATTGTAACCTTTTGTTAAATTAGTAAAAACCATATATAGATCCTCCTTATTCTCTTTGTACTTCTCCATCAAACCTCTCAATAAATATATAGCTTCCATAGTAGACCTGGCCGACATAAATCAAAATTGATTATGAGAAATCCTTGTAATACGTCTTAACCTTTGTTCAATTACCCTCTCCCATAATTTTAAAGTATGACACATCAACTTAGTTCTTCTATAATTTACACACTCTTGTGCTTCACCTTTATGCTTAAAAATGGGGTCCAAACTTCTCCTTAGACACCTTTTTTGTTTTTAAAATAATATTAAAGAGTTTAGTAAGCCAAGAAACTCCCAAACTCCTAAATATTTCTACACTTCAATTGGGATATCATCAGATCCTCCAGACTTTCCACCCTTGGTTTTCTTTAAAGCCTCCTCAACTTCTTTTTTACATACTTTCAACCCTTGTAATATATAGTTTTAAAGATTTAAAAATGCAAAAATTGAGAATTGAGGTTTTTTTTTCTTAATAATGTTAGACATATTTCAAAAAAGAAAATAAAAATTCATAAAATGATAGAAATCATTAATTTATTTATTTAGTTTATAACCATAAAGATATGAATCACAAATCTCAATCTTAAATATTGATAAGTTCAAGATAAGCATTCACTTAAATTTTAAATATGCCATATAGATCATAATCCACAGTGGCTTCATCCTCGTTTTCATAATTTTTAGAAGTAGCATTATATATATTAATTTTATCATTCTCTAGTTCTGTTTTATTAACATCTCAAAATATTCATCAATAATTATAATTTTTTTCTTATTCTCTATATCAATTAATATTGGTTTTAGTATAATTTAAAATAACACAATAAGTTAATAACATAACTTTTTAATTCATCGTACTTAAATTATTTTTGAATTTTTTGAATGCCAAATCTCACTTTTTGTATTTCTTTTAAATGATAACGAAGTATAATTTCTTTTGAATTTAGTAGTCTTTCATCATTAGATTGTAAATCATCATTAAGGATTCGTTTGGGGCGGTGGTGTGGCACCGCACTGCAGTTTTGTCTGCTTGAGTAAACTGCTTTGTGACAGCTTTCTCAAAAAACTGCCGCTGAAATTTGTGTTTTCCCACCACTCCTGGCTAGGTGCGATGACAGCTTTTGAGTTATGTCTGACTTTTAAAAAAAAGTTGTATAAACCACCTTAATTTTTTCAGCATCAGATTTTTAATAAGCAGCAGCTACCCCAAAGAGACCCTAAATCTCAATTCATCATCTTCAACTTTAAAAATTTCATTTTTTCTCAATGTTGTTTCCCATTTGAAGTCTAATAATGCATTATCAATG